TACAATTAGAGTGAACAATTAAAGTGTCCAATTTAATGAAATATATACTTAAATGAACAATTAATGTTTCCTTGAAGCGTCATGATGTTGTCAATACAAGATGTATCAAAAATAAATTTATGCAATATTATACTCCTTTTGCTATTTAATCTCAAGCATGAGAAACGGTCAATCAATTTTAATGCAAGTCCAATTAATTTTAACGTAAGTCCAATTAATTTTAATGTACGTCCAATTAACTTTAATGCAAGTCCAATTAATTTTAACATAAGTTTAATTTTAAGTCCAAAAAATAACCCCAGCTAAAAACGAAGCCGAAATCTGGCGAAGCGAATATTCCCCTTCCGAATATTGTTTTCTCAACAATCGTGCACATATCTCAAGAATATTTTCTCTCCGATCTCCACACAAGATTTTCCGCGTGTTTCGCGGTTGGCCATAAAATTTCGCCGGTAAAATTCAATTCATCCTCGGAATTTCGCGGATAATGGCGGGGCGCCTGTAATACGAGGTTATTCCTGCAGCCGTCGTAACGTCTCGTTTTACGCGGGGGCGTTAAATTTTCATTGGCCTTCCCTGGCTTTATGCGAGCACCGTTTTCCGTTCGGCACTGTTTAATGCCGATTATAATTGCGGAGCATAGAGTCCGAAACGCGAGGGGTTAACGCGCTGGAACACGGTTAATCTACGTCGACGTGTTAATATTTTATCAGCCACGCTCTCTCCGGCTAATTACCCTAACATTTGCCAGAAATCTCTCGCTATTCCTTCGGCTCTATCTTTGATATCTTCCTACTAACCGTGTTGGTACTGCAACTCGGTAAACTTCTCTTTAATTATTTCTGGGTTAATTGTTTCTGGGGCTTTATGATCTTCAAAATATTCTGATGAATTTGTGCAGTTTATAGCTGCATATCTTTGTATCCATACATTGCTAGGAACTTAGATTTCAAAATTTCTAAATTCGAATAACTCTAGATGCAAATAATACTTGAGTCGAATATATTTATAACTGAGTTGATCCAAGATTTGAAAATCCCTAGATTCAGAAATCCCTAAAGTAGGAAATTTGTAGATTCGTAAATCCATAGATTAAAAAATCCCTATATTCAAATTTCACTAAATTCGAAAATTCCAAGATTCGGATTTCCCTAAATCCAAAAATCCCTAGATTCAACAATTCCTAGACTCGGATTTTTCTAAATTCGGAAATCCCAAGATTCGAATTTCCCTAAATCCAAAGATCCCTAGATTCAACAATTCCTAGACTCGGATTTCTCTAAATTCAGAAATCCCTAGATTCGAATTTCCCTAAATTCGAAAATCTCTACATTCGAAAATCCCTAGATTCGAATTTACTCGATTAGAAAATCCCTAGGTAATGGATTTCCCTAAATTTGAAAATTCGTAGATTTCAATTTCCTTAAATTTGAAAATTTCTAGATTCCAATTTCCCTCAATTCGAAAATCCCTAGATAATGGATTTCCCTAAATTTGAAAATCCCTAGATTGGAATTTTCCTCAATTCGAAAATCCCTAGATAACGGATTTCCCTAAATTTGGAAATCCCTAGATTCGAATTTCCCTAAATTTCAAAATCCCTAGATTCGAATTTACCGAAATTTGAAAATCCCTAGACTCCAAATTCCCCCGGATTCTAACATCCCTAGATTCCTCTACATCTCAGAAATCCTACTTTACATAATTTTTAAATTTATTTTACATTTATACATTTTATTCTACGTAATGAAAATATTTTAATAGAAGTGTGCGTTCACTGTTAAATAATATTTTATTTCATTATTTGTTTTAGTAACTTTTTCTTGCTACCCCTAAAATTATATCGTGAAAAATATTTTTAATCTATCAATTCGATTCAAATATACCTTGCAATATATTAAATATAAGCTACATAACGAGTATGGATTCTTAATCCTTTTATTTTGCAATAAAATACATCTCCAAATTTTTCGCCTTCTAGCACGATTATATACGTACGTACATTTATGTATCGCGATGTTTTCTATTACGCAACCAAAAAGGTTACCCGATGTAACTAAACTTTCGAACGCACACGTGTATCGATCCATGTACTATCGAATCGTTCCTAGAAAATCGAAACGTACGACAATTTGAGAGCCATCGAAAAATTTGAACGCCCGTCAAACGCACACGGAAAGCGGGTTTTAAAATTCGTAAAAAAAAAAGAATATAGAAGAGCAAAAATACGTCGATAGCAAACGTGTACGAAAATTTCGGACTCGTGACGAAAAATTGTACCTTTGTTGACGTCGCACATAGGGAAAAAAATTGATCACGAGGAAACGTTAACTCTTTACACTAACGAAACTGTTGCAAAACGAATTTCAGTTTGCAGCAACAGTTATCGACAAATCGTGCTAGAAGGTTCCACTTTTCAGCCATTTACTTGAGGAATTGCTTTTTGATTCTTGTAATGTTTATTCTGCTTCGAACCTTTCGGTCGCACTTTGATTTTTAATTTATTTTGCAGAAATTTAATAGATTGGTTTTTGAGGCACGAGAGTTATTGTCTTTGGGTTTTTATATTATAGAGTATTTTATATTTTTGTTAATATTTTATGCTACATTTTCGAATGTGTAAATATTAGTAAAATTTCACGTTACATCTTGAAATATTTATAAATATTATTGAACACCATATACTATATATACAGATATTTATAAATGCTGTTAAGTTCATGTACAAGTCATAAATATCAATAATATTTAATACAGATTATAATACTTTTAATAAACGACAGCCACAAAAGCTTTCAAATAAAAATAATAAACACTATAATACTATATATTTTAAAATATATAATGCTACACAAAACTCTTACAATAAATTATTATCAAAGTGCGATGGAAAAGTCTCACATAAAAATGGCAGGAATCGAAGTAAGATATCCAAACTCGCAGCTGTTTGAAACGTAATCTAATATCGCGTACCGTAATCTGAATATCACAGGACAGATTCGCAGAAACACTTTCTTCTCGTGAAAATTGCGGTGGATGGTTAGTAGATCAAACTATGCCGACGAACGGAAAAAAACGAAGAAAATGGAGAAAGGAAGCGGCGATGGGATTATAGTGATCGGTGAGAGCGATCGGTGTGTTAACGCAGCGTGTCGGTATAGATACGGGGTCAAAACAAGTGGTTAGGTGGCCCAAAAAGAAAATATATCAGAAAGAAAATAATTGTCAGAAAGAATCGAAAGAAAAATCACGAACAGAAAATCGACCATCGTGAGTAGAACGTTCTCTCATTAACATCACGATCTCACTTGGAATAATTAAAAAAAAGAACAGAGCACCGTGTACAAGAACAAAAAAATTGATGAGAACAAGAAGACATTACGTGGAGTTATGTAAATATAGTTAAACAGGAGCAGAGACAAAAAAACAGGTGAGAAAAATTATGGGCCGCGCGGGACGTCGATGAAGCCTCTGCTGGCCGCCATTTTGGTACCCTTAATTTCTCTTCGATTCTCACGAAACATTTCAATTCTCAAGTATTAATTAATCGAGTATTTTTAAGCATGAAAATTTCTCGAAAATAATTTGAAATAACTGAGGTTTCTCCAAAGAGTCTGAATTAAAACTGAAACGTAGCAGAATTTTCTATCGATAACAGATAAGGAAATATCGCGAACCGACAGGCAGAAAATCACTTCCTGCAGAGGTTGCCTCACGTCCGCGTCCTCGCGCGCACACAAAGAGAAGACACACCGACAAATGAAACGAGTTAAAATCGTTCGTATGTATATGTGCCATATACATAGATCACAATATAAATATAGTTATATTTATATCGATTAATTGATTTTGACTCTAGGGTTACTTTTTCGTTCTTTTGTGTCCAATCAAACGAAAGAAGAGAAACAGAGAGAGAGAGAGAGATAGAGAGAGACAAAAAACAGAAGAAGAAAATGAAACTCTCTTTGCGTATTAATTCTTTGTTTGTTCAAGTAAGTCGTCGGCTCTCTCACTGGGGACTTACCGTTCTTTTTTTGGACAACGACTTTGGCTGCGACTTTACGGGGGTTGCGTATGCCGAACAACGGAGTTTTGAGTGGTAGTAGTAGTAGTAGTAGTAGTAGAAGTAGTAGTAGTAGTAGTAGTAGAAGTAGTAGTAGTAGTAGTAGTAGAAGTAGTAGTAGTAGTAGTAGTAGAAGTAGTAGTAGTAGTAGTAGTAGAAGTAGTAGTAGTAGTAGTAGTAGAAGTAGTAGTAGTAGTAGTAGTAGAAGTAGTAGTAGTAGTAGTAGTAGAAGTAGTAGTAGTAGTAGTAGTAGAAGTAGTAGTAGTAGTAGTAGTAGAAGTAGTAGTAGTAGTAGTAGTAGAAGTAGTAGTAGTAGTAGTAGTAGAAGTAGTAGTAGTAGTAGTAGTAGAAGTAGTAGTAGTAGTAGTAGTAGAAGTAGTAGTAGTAGTAGTAGTAGAAGTAGTAGTAGTAGTAGTAGTAGAAGTAGTAGTAGTAGTAGTAGTAGAAGTAGTAGAGGTAGTAGTAGCATAGTGTCGTGCCGAGATAGGAGGAGTCCAAGGCCAGTGTGATTGATACAAATATAATAGAGAAGGAGTACGATAAAAGATAGTCAGTGCAACTTCGTGGGGCTTGAGGGGGCTGGGGGGCAACAAACGTCGGGGGTAACCTAGGGATTACGTCTCTCGGAAACGATTCGCGATCACTCGACCGGAAATTCGATCTCTCCGATGTATCATCCCGTTTAGCCTCGGTTCACGGTCATGGTAACACTTGTTCCACGATACTTTTTTTTTTATCTTTGATAACGTTTCATGATCTCTTCAAATTTGGGTGGAAATTGTTTTGGAGATAATTTTGGATGTTGAGGTGTTGCGTTACGAGTCCATCTTGAAGTAAGGGGTGATTATGGTACATCAATTTGAAGGGTAAAACTCTCTTTGCGTATTAATTCTTTGTTTGTTCAAGTAAGTCGTCGGCTCTCTCACTGGGGACTTACCGTTCTTTTTTTGGACAACGACTTTGGCTGCGACTTTACGGGGGTTGCGTATGCCGAACAACGGAGTTTTGAGTGGTAGTAGTAGTAGTAGTAGTAGTAGTAGAAGTAGTAGTAGTAGTAGTAGTAGAAGTAGTAGAGGTAGTAGTAGCATAGTGTCGTGCCGAGATAGGAGGAGTCCAAGGCCAGTGTGATTGATACAAATATAATAGAGAAGGAGTACGATAAAAGATAGTCAGTGCAACTTCGTGGGGCTTGAGGGGGCTGGGGGGCAACAAACGTCGGGGGTAACCTAGGGATTACGTCTCTCGGAAACGATTCGCGATCACTCGACCGGAAATTCGATCTCTCCGATGTATCATCCCGTTTAGCCTCGGTTCACGGTCATGGTAACACTTGTTCCACGATACTTTTTTTTTTATCTTTGATAACGTTTCATGATCTCTTCAAATTTGGGTGGAAATTGTTTTGGAGATAATTTTGGATGTTGAGGTGTTGCGTTACGAGTCCATCTTGAAGTAAGGGGTGATTATGGTACATCAATTTGAAGGGTATGGTACATCAAGGTTGGGCAATAAAGGTTGACAAAAGTAGCTGAGTCCATTAAGATCTTGTTGCATTATGTAATTAACCTTCTTATAGCAAATAATGTACCTAGTAGACAATTTCAGGATGACTGACATAATTTTATAAGAAGTCTAACAAAATAAGAAGTCTGACATAATTTTGTGACATAAAAATACTTACTAAATGGTACAGTAAATAAAAAAATGTCATGAAAATTCTTATATTAATTATTTACGAATGATCGCAAAAATTACAACAGCGATTACAGCGAACCAACAGAGAAACTCCAATATTCATAACACAAAAGCATCAAAATAGCACACACATCAATTTCAACCCTGATGAAAATGTTTAAACGCTCGATACGAACTAATTAATTATGATTTTTAACGAATGACGTTAAATTTCAAAATGTCAAACGCAATTCCATGAGATAAATAACATTTGTAATTCAAAGTTTGATGAAAATTACTACATTAACCCTTTACAAATGTTCCTAATACAAACTGGGTTGCTAATTAGTGCAGATAATTTGGAACAGCAATTACGGTAAGTAATGGCAAATTTCGGAGCAGAATTTAATTTCGTGACATAAAATAATGTGTGACAATTTGAAGCTTAAGTTTGATGAAAACGATATGCTGTATATTAATATTTATTTTTGGGAAAATAAGTTATGAATTGCATTGCATATAGCTGAATATTATAGATTAATATAGATTTATTTTTTTGATACATTTTACATTATTTCAGATGTTAATTCTTTTTAATTTACTGTGTAGATAATTCTTTTAGCGGACTCAGTGGATATTATTTTTAAGCTATTATAAATATTGAATTTTTCAATTATTTTACACATCTCACTTTTTTGTTATTTTCATATTGTTTTTAATATTTCATTTTTTAATTTTAGACATTTATTTCTCTATTATTTTGGACACGGTGTCTCCCTTTTATTTATGAATTTTATTTCAAATTGAACACCCCATACTTCCAAACAGGCCAAAATACAACCCCCAATTTCTCAGAACTATCTCCAATACCCAGTTAATCTCTGAAATTACATACATAAGAGAAACACACAATCAGTGTAAAATCGATCGTAAAACGTCATTCGTTGAGGGTTGTTCCACGCACGCAGAATCGGTGCACGTGTACCGAGGGGTTGGGCTACTCGTACATAGATATATAATATATAAAAAAAAGAAAAAAAGAGAACAAAGTGCGGAGGGCTAAAGTGGGCCAGTGGGGTTGGGATACTGTTAGGGGTGTGGAGGGCTTGACACGAAAGAAAGTAAAATCGAACTCGAGAATTTCGGATACAACAATTGGTACACAGGGGCTTGATCAGAAACGATAGGTGCGGTGATATATATATATATGTATCGTATGCATATATATATAAGTATATCGTCTGAAATAAACACCGAGAACGATCGATCGAAACGTCGATTCCATCGTGCAAAATCGACGACTGACCGGATCGTTGCATGCGTGATTCGCGTGTCTGCAGCATTCGAGATGGTGCCGTTGCACTCCGGTGCATCTGTAATCTCTTTTTCTGGGTTAATACTATTCGAGGCTGTCGCGTGGAAAAGTTTTCTTGACGTTTCGACGGCATTGCAGATATAGCCTGAAAATCGATGACTGCTCAAGTTCGCACGCGGATTTTAACGTTATCTGCTACGTATTTACTTTAATGCTTCAAAGTGAATTTCGATGGTCTGTCATTTACTGTTGCAAGCATATTCATATCTGTGTTCTACACTATACTCACAAGTTAAATTCTTCTGCTGAAATTTTTGTCGATTAAGACATAGTGCATAATTTATATTTTAACCTTCGTTTATTTATTTTAAGGTATATGGTAGGTTCAGTCTATCTTTAAATTAGGACTGAATAAATGAAGGTTTCTGTACATCTTTGAAAGACTTCTGTGTCTCAAAGAAAATTGATAAAATAGTTCTATAGCAGACTATAATGAATAATTTTTGTGCAATGAAAAATTATACTTGTTTTTATTTTAAAGGAAGATTTTTAAACACTTTGACAATAATAAATAATCTTTATAAATTAAAATAAATCTTCAGCACTCTGCTGTTTTTACCTGAACAAAAATTAACAAGCATCAGAAAAATGTTCATCAAGCATCAGAAATTGTTTTAAAATTGTTCCACAGAAAAATTGAAAGACTAAGAAATAATTATAAAGTCTCCACATAGAAATAATAAAACAGGATATTTAAAGATAATATAAAAAATGAAGTTTACAATAATATCTCCATGTACAATTGAAAGGTTAAATAAAAATAGCGTTAAAAGTTCAAATACCTTTTCTTTAACACATAACAAATGATGCAACAATAACAGTTGTAAAAGCAATAACATCGTGTGTGATGAGAAAGGTAGCCTTGAACAGTCAGCTGACTTCAGAGACTATATTCTCCCTGCCAGATATATTAAATTTATTTCTGATTGGCTAATTATAACATTTGACATCATCGATTTAGAACAGTACTAATAAAATAAACTGCTGTAACTTCTATTTATTTGTCAACAGAGATTTCTCTCATATATCTAATATTTTATTATTGTCGGTGAATAAACGCTAATTATTTTATTATTTTATGTTCAAAGAAATGCTGAATATTTTTTTTAATATATGCATTTTTTAATGTGAATATTAAAAAAAATATTCAGAGAATAAATGCTAATTACTTTATTATTTTATGTTCAGAGACACTGAATATTTTTAATATTTTTAATATATGTATTTTTTAATGTGAATATTAAAAATAATATTCAGAGAATAAATGCTAATTATTTTATTATTTTATGTTCAGAGACACTGAATATTTTTGTTAATATTCTTAATGTTTTTAATATATGCATATTTTAATGCGAATATTAAAAATAATATTCAGAGAATAAATGCTAATTATTTTATTATTTTATGTTCAAAGAGACACTGAATATTTTTTCCAATATTTTTAATATACATATTTTTTAATGTGAATATTAAAAATAATATTCAGAGAATAAATGCTAATTATTGTATTATTTTATCTTCACTGAATAAATGCTCAATTTTGTATAATTTTATCTTCAGTGAATAAATGCTCAATTTTGTATAATTTTATCTTCAGCAAATAAATGTGAAATATTGTATTATTTTATATTCAGTGAATAAATGTTAAACATATTATTTTATATGCAATGAATGATTTTGTAATACAATAAAAGTGAAAACGCACCATCTTGAATGTAATGCAGCGAATCGGGGTGACAGAAAAATATATCGTTCTAGATGCACTATGATCGTAAATGATGCAGAAGAATGATAATCGTTATATCGGTGACAACGACAAAATTTCAGGCCGTGTGCCATCGAGACAAAAGTATGTATACACATATAATAAATGATTTTATACAGGAGTGAAAAAGAAATACAGATATATAGAGATATAAGAGTCAGATAGAAAATATAATAAAAATATAGAAAATGTATTTTCGTACCTTGATAGGAGATGTACGAACCAGAAACATGGATAGAGAGAGAGAGAGAAGACAGTGACACAGACAGACAGATGAGGTGAAAGAAACAAAATGGACAATCGACACAGAACGCGTTTCATGATTCGAAGGAGAAATAAAAAAAAAAGAAGTAAAAAAATAAAAAAAGGAATCAACGTAAAAAAAAATGCGATTCTAAGACGAGTATAAATGCTTTCGGTGTACTTGCGTTTCTTTTTCTGTCTCTTGTATCGTACGTTCTTTTTTTTGCTTTCATCGTCTTCATCGTTAATCTCATTTTTTTTTCGTCGTTGATAGAAAAAACAGAATACTAAATGACGTAAAGAAGTGAAATGATGGAAACGTTGAAAACGACGACGATGAGAAAAGAACACGTTTCGGAATACAAAATAGAGAAAGAAACTCGACACACTGACACTATCTATGGAAAACAATGTAGCTAAGAAATCAATGATAATTAATGAAGCTCTTAATAATGTGACGATTAGAAGAGTCGAGTGGCGCTTCTTACCATCTGTCCGTGCAGCGGGTGAAAATGGAAACAGAAAGAGAATTCAAAATCTTCCTCTGAAAGTTTGACACCGCGGGATATGGGGTCGATTACGATACCATACTGTACTTTTGCACTTCTTTTACTTTAATTATACCTTCTACGGATTTTGGACGCATGTTATGGAGATTTTTTGAATTATTTTTGTATGTAGATATATGTACAATAGGCTGGTTAGGTTAGGTTCAATTTTTCAATTTTTCAAATTTCCAATTTTCCAACTTTCTAATTTCCCAATTACTATATTTCCCAATTTCTATATTTCCCAGTTTCCACATTTCCCAATATCCACATTTTCCAATTTCCATACTTCCCAATTACTATACTTCCCAATTTCCACATTTCCCAATTTCCACACTTCCCAATTACTATACTTCCCAATTTCCACACTTCCCAATTACTATATTTCCCAATTTCCACATATCCCAATTACTAAATTTCCCAATTTCCACATTTCCCAATTTCCACACTTCCCAATTACTATACTTCCCAATTTCCACATTTCCCAATTTCCACACTTCCCAATTACTATATTTTCCAATTTCCACATATCCCAATTACTAAATTTCCCAATTTCCACATTTCCCAATTACTATATTTCCCAATTTCCACAATTCCCAATTTCCTTATTTTCCAAATACAAAATTTCCCAATTTCCCCATTTCCTAATTTTCCAATTTCCTCATTTCCCAATTTTCCAATTTCCCCATTTCCCAAATTTCTAATTTTCCAATTTTCCAATTTTCCAATTTTCCAATTTTCTAATTTTCCTATTTCCCAAATATAAATCTCCAAATTTCCAAATTCTTAAATTTTTAGCTCTAAAATGACTATACTTCTAAATCCCCAAATCTTCAAATTACCAAATTTCAAATTTCCCAATTTCCCAATTTTCCAATTACAAAATTTCGAAATCTCAAATTTCCCAATTTCTAAATTACAAAATTTCTATACCTTCAAATTTCTAAACTTGCCAATCACCAATCCACAAAACTTCCAAATTATATCTACAAACTTGATCTTGGCAATATAACGCGAGCGTCCCATACTACACAACCTAACTATCAATATAATCAATATAATTGAACACCAATATAATTAAAAGTATAATGAGCCTTCAATATAACCAATATAATCACTATCATCGATAGCATAATCAATAGTTTATAATAATTTACAATAAAAGTACTGTTAAATAGCTCATTAGTATTTTATATTAATCAACATTCAATATTTTATACCAATTAATTTTGTCCTCCTACTAAAACAAAAATAACACACACATATCAATCTACACCTAACCAATTCCACATATGTACATATGTGCACATACACAAAAATGTCTCAAATCGACCTCCATAACAAAATCCTTAAAACCAAGAAGGTTTCTTGAATTCACAACAACCAGTACAGGTATATCTTTTTTATCAAATCACTCTACAGGGTGACAGATGACAGGGTTTGGGGGATGAAAAAAGATCTCGAAGTTCGCCCTTGACTTGAGTTCAAATCGTCGCGATAACAAAGTGACTCGGACACACGTTTCGATCGTTTCCCAATATTATTTTTTGTTCCCGAGAATTGGTGAAATTTCGAAAAAAAATGGTGTGCGGCCGTAGCAGGTGTTTACGAAAGGTGTAAACTCGAATAAAATCGAGAAACTCGGATACGCGAGTGCAGCTTCCTACTTGCACGCTTGCTAGATCGAGGCGTGGCGGCAAAGCTGATTTTCAAACAAAGGTTTTTGAAAAAGTTCTTGTAAAATAGTGAGATTTTAACTATTTTTAGGTATGTGGAAGCTCTTGAAAGACATCGGGTTGTCTTAATTATTAAGTTGATGTACTTTTTTATGTTTAACGCTGGGTTTACTGGGTTTATTAAAATTTGACAGACTTCTTATTTTGAATTGTGGAAATTAAAATTCTTTCGGATTTAAAGTAACTTTTGTCAAGATGAATAACTGTATAAGTTATTTCATGTTTTACTTCTCGTACTTTATTTTTAATTTAAAAATAAGTGTATATTGTTGTACTAACTGGATGTTTGTAAACCCAGTGTTAATTATAATGCAACAAAATTGCAATATTTTCTGAACTGATATTTTCATTGTCGATTTCTTCGACAACCCGATGGTAGATAAAGAATAATATTATTTATAAAAATTAGCAACAACTTCTTTCCCTGTTTGATTAACAAGAAAAATTATCCAAGTGTTCAGAAGTTTGGTATTTTTAATTTAAATTTAGTTTGTCAGAAACTTGATTAGAAATAAAACTTGTATGGTTGATAAGTGAAAATTTCAAATAGATTTTGAACAACTGCAGACTTGAAATAATAATTGAATAGTCGAACACATCACTAATACTTGAATTTGAATATTTAAAAAAAAACTTGAATATCTAAATATACAATATTATTATATAAAATGAAACTTGATATCTAAATATATAAAATAAAACTTGATATCTAAATATGTCAAATAAAACTTGAATACCTAAATATTTGAAATGAAACTTGAACAACAGAACACTTAAAATAGACCTTGAATATTTGAACAAGTTGTTTTGGAACCTGAATATTTGACCACTTCAAAAGAAGCTTAAACACCGAAACATTCGAAGGTTTGAAATACAGTAAATTCCTCTATCCACTTGGATAAAGTTTGCTTAACAGGGAAATCAGCTGATCAAAGTTGCGAAGCGAACAGAACTTCTATTAAGAGAAAAGAGTAAAATTTTGTAAGGAAATATGTTTGAAATCTTTGCAGTCACGCGATCGATCTCCCATTCGAGCAAACGCGACAATTCAATAATCTGTAAAGACAAATATTTGATGCAAACATATTCCATTATGAATTTCTGATTCGAATGAATTCTCGCGTTTTCGAATTTAATGGTCTCTCTTAAATCGTGTTTAGAGCTCTGAGTCATTGAAATAGTTTCTCGAGGAGAAATGTACACAAGTTTACTGATACGTAAATAATTTAATGGAAATTTGTAACTGGTCAGAATTATCACTAATCAATGGAATTATCACTAATCAATTTCCTTCAACAAAAATAACAAGAAATTTGAATTAACAAGAAAATTTAATTGACAAGAAAATTGAATTAACGAAAAAATTGAATTGACAAGAAAATTGAATTAACAAAAAAATTGAATTAACAAGAAAATTGAATTAACAAGAAAACTGAATTAACAAGAAAATTGAATTAACAAAAAAATTGAATTGACAAGAAAATTGAATTAAAAAGAAAATTGAATTGACAAGAAAATTGAATTAACAAGAAAATTGAATTAACAAAAAAATTGAATTAACAAAAAATTAAATTGACAAGAAAATTGAATTAACAAAAAAACTGAATTGACAAGACAATTGAATTAACAAAAAATTGAATTAACAAGAAAATTGGATTAACAAAAAAATTGAATTAACAAAAAAATTCTTATTAACACAAAATTGCCAAATTTGAATCGAACAATTTAAATTTAAGATCTGACACAAAATTTTGACAGAATATGAACCGAATAAGAGATTCGTATTAATAAAACGTAAAACAGCCGTGAGGTCTGTTAATTTGTTGAAGCATCAAACGAGGTGCACAATAAAACTCTGATCACGATGTAAGAGGGACCAGTAGATGTCGAATTGATAGACAAGGAAAAAGAATAATATATAGAAGATATATCTCTATATGTATGTAGAAAAGAGAAAGAAGAATCTCTGCAAGAAACGTGATTGTATTAAAGAAGAAGAGGAGGGAAGTGAAGTGATAGTCGACATTACCTTCTTCGAGCCCGTCGTCTCCGTCGCTCATCAGCTCGTCGTCCGAGCAGATGTTCAGAACGTTCACCAACATTTCCGTCACTGGAACATTCAAAATAACACTAAATTACAACACTGATTACTAGATGTTTTATAGATACTAGAAACTATAGTTCTACTATAGTTCACTAATATTTTTTCAAAGTTTCATACATCAAGGATTGTATATTCTTTAAATTCTATATTTATGGATGTTTGATGCTCAAGTTTCTGAACCTTCAATTTGCTGTGTTCTCTAATTTCTATATTTTTCAAATTTTTGTATTTAAAAATTTCTAATTTTGCAAATTTCTACGTTTGAAAATTTCTATACTTTTTAGATTTGTACATCTAAAAATTTCTATGCTCTCAAATTTCTGTATTACTACATTTCCGCATTCTTCAAATCTCTATTGTTAGATCTCCATATTTGTAAATCTCTATGTATCCAAATATCTATGCTTTCAAGATTCTATATTTTCAAATTTCTATATTCTCAATTTGGAGGTCTTTCAATTCTCTATGTGTCAAAATTTATATATTTGCAATTATTAGATATTTTTTAATTTATAGTATTGTACAGGGTGGTAAAAGTAAAAGAGTGCACATTTGAATTGCGCGCTCGAGAGAGTCACGTGACGTCCAGTGCCTCTAGGTCACGTGACGTCCAGCACCCAGTACATACTGCTGTATAAATTACATGTATTATAGACATGTGTACATTACACAGAATCACTAAATAGTGATAATAGCGCTCTCAAATGAATTTAGCAAACTTTTTAACAAAGAAATTCCAAGCTTAATATCTAACAATAAAAATATCTTGAAAATATCTACATTTTAAAATTCGATGTGAAGCACATAACCTCGATAATTCAAATTATAATTTTGTATACTTGTGTATGTTTCAAAAAATTGTCACGATCACCAATATATCGAAAAGCAGATACTTTAATATGGAAATTGTACTCACTTATGAAATGTACTCACCCTTTTCACCTACAAACGGCAAGGACCACGTGAAAACATCCATGAAATTGGGCAACCAGTATGGGTGCGGTGAACAATTGAACTGCCTGATGTTCATAACGTTGTTCTCGTACTTCAACACGGCTGCCTGTTTAATACAACAAATTGCACATCATTTAATTTCGATTGATGCCGTGAAAATGCTCGTGTATACCAAAGTGAAATCAAATAATCATTAACAGGTTGATCGCTGAGAGACATTTCAACAACGGTTATTGTTATTACGATTTATAGTTAATATATTAACGTTTTTAAGAAATATCTCTGATGTAAAATAACTATTAGTTAATGATCAATTTATTAATACATTTGTACTTATTGTATTTATTAAATAAAATACTTATTGTATTTATTAGTGTTGGGTACTGCAGAATTTTTTTAAGAGAATAATGCTAGTTCAAATTGAATTTTTGTGGACTAAAAGATGAATAGAGGAGAAGAAAAAAGTAAAATTGAAAGAAAGAAGTCGATAACTCTAGAAGAAATAGAACTCTACGTATGAAAGAAGGATAGATAGATTGATAGATTTTGATCGATGAAGGATCCTTTGCAAAGGAGTAATTAGCTAGTAGGTGAATTTATGGATTACATGATGTTGCTTACCTTGTTGTTGTAAACGTCGAGGTAGTTGGGCGCGCTGAAAATTGTAATTAACGATGGGAAGCCCGTCGTCTGAGATTTCCGGTACATACGATAACCCGCATCCTGTGCCTCGTGTGCCCTTATGATGCTCAGGAGGTTGTTGTTCTGCAGGAAATCACAGCAAGCCGCGTAACTGCGAACATAACCAACGAAATCGACGTTAAAATACTATTTTCTCCACTTTTATTTTAAACGAAACAATTATGTTCTTTCAATCCTTTTTCCTATATCAACACTTTTGTTGATCAAATTTAATTTATTTCAAGTTCTCAAATCTTTGAATTTATTTTAATTTTAGCTGCAGTTCTATGTAGTCAATGTATGCACTTAATAACTATATCTGTTAACACCAGGTATATAAAATTTGTACTATTAATTATACTTTTTACTATAACTATTTTAATAACATTCATTGTATGTCTTCTAATAATTTCCATTGTATTTTAAAATCATTATTTCTGATCACAAATTATTTCTAATCACAAATTACTATTTCAACAAATTACTATTACTAGTCGCGTTTAAATCTCCCGCGAAATCTCCACCTCGCTATATGGCCCTTTCACCTTCCCTTCCCTCTTCCATTCAAATTTCCAGGTTAAGAATTAAACACGAAAAATTTTCTCTTGCAGCAAAATCGAAATAGCTCAAATTACTAATCGCGTTTAAATCTCCCGCGAAATCTCCACCTCGCTATATGGCCCTTTTACCTCCCCTTCCCTCTTCCATTCAAACTTCCAGGTTAAGAATTTCACACGAAGAATTTTCTCTTGCAGCAAAATCGAAATAGCTCAAATTATTAATCGTGTTTGAATCTCCCGCGAAATCTCCACCTCGCTATATGGCCCTTTCACCTTCCCTTTCCTCTTCCGTTCAAATTTCCAGGTTAAGAATTTTCTCAAAATCGAAATAGCTCAAATGCAGCGAAATAATTTACAAGTACGTCGGAAACGCGAACCAATAGAGGATCAAACGCTAAAACGGTGGAACACGTTGGCCACGGTCGTAACACGTACCGGGAATCTTTTACGAATGCAACTACCATAACTATAGTGGCAATTCCGTAATGGCCGCGATGCTATAAAGACGGAATCGAGATATGTTCGTTCTCTTTTGATCTCCCATCCTACATTCCTGAGAGAACTCGTAAAATCTACCGCGAGAATCGTCCATCCTAATACCTCCTCGTTTTATTTCACCATCGTAAACCCCACGACCTCCATTCCTATGGAGACCATTGCATCTACTCGCTATTGTTGTTCCTTGCATTTTTTAACTTTCACGTATCTCTCGTGGAGTCAGCTTTTTACGATCTTTGGTTGTGTAATTCTTTAGTGCTGGGCAATGAAATTTAACAATTATGTTTTTGCTTGTACAGGGATTAAATAAGGTTCATTTAGTTGGTACAATTTGATGATACTCGTTTGTAGAATTATTATGAACATTTTTTTTAATACAATGAAGTTTGCCGTTCTTTATTTTTGTGGAGTATTTAAAAACATTTCTTTTTTATCAATAAGTTGAAACGAGTATGTATAGTTTTTGTTTGTAGAATAAATAAAGACATTTTTGTCAAACAATAAAATTTGATGATTTTCGTTTGTTGAATAATTAAAAACAATTTTTCAAATCAATTATATAAAACAATTATGTATGGTTTTTGTTTATAGAATAAATGAAGACATTTTTCTGAATCTATAAAATTTGACAATTTTCGTTTGTGATATAATTAAGAATATCTTTTTAAATCACTAAAATTTGATGTTCTGCATTTGTAGAATAATTAAAAAATTTTTTAAAATCAATAGAAATTTACAATTATGTATTGTTGTCGATTATACAGTAATTAAAAATGTTTTCTATAATCAATAATATTTGATGATTTTCGTTTGTGATATAATTAAGAACATTTTTTTAAATCACTAAAATTTGATGTTCTGCATTTGTAGAATAATTAAAAACATTTTTTAAAATCAATAGAAATTTACAATTATATATTGTTGTCGATTGTACGATAATTTAACATGTTTTTCATAATCAATAAAATTTGATGGTCTTAATTTATTGTATAATTAAGAATATCTTTTTAAATCACTAAAATTTGATATTCTGCATTCGTAGAATAATTAAAAACATTTTACAAAATCACGAGAGTTTCACAATTACGTATTGTTTTCAATAAAACAAAAATTAAAAACGTTCTCCATAATTGATGATCCTCACATACAGTATAATTAAACCCGTCTTTCCGAATCAATAAAACGTCACAATTAAATCCGCCCACAGAATTAAACCACCAAAAGACCATTACCGAATAACGCCATAAAATAATGAAGACATCGAGCCAAACGTGATCGAACGAAATTAATTAATTGACTCGTACGGGGGTTAAAATAATTCCTCGTAAGATGGAAGGGTAAGAATCGATTCTCTGAGACGACCTCCGTTACATGTTGATGATTTATCGGCCGTATTATAATTTATAAATGCTTGGTCCGTGCTTCTGTTATCGCGTTCGATCGCCGGATAAAATTACGCCAGGACGAAGAGAGAGAGAGAGAGAGAGAGTTATCACGAATTTTCGCGTGTAGCCTCGCGTGCAGGTTGCAACTGCACGAGCAAAATTGTCGAGAGCGTTTTAAGCCTCCGTTGCACCGTACTTCCGGCCAACCTTCGAACAAATTTCACGTATGGAGAACCGTGGTTTGTTGCTGATACACGTATACGCCTCGAACACGTGCTCGGTTTTGCTCTCAATTTATACGCTTTGAGTACGGTCATTTTGTTATATTGCATTGGGGTGCTAACTTGTTGCCATCATTTTTTTTTTTCGACGCTTTTTATATTTGTGATATTGTTATTTGAGGTGGAGTGTATTTGTTTTTTTGATGAAAGGCTTTTGATGAAATATGTAAATGGTGTTTACAGTAAAATATGTATACATGTATGATGAAACTCATATGCATATCATGAAATACATATATGTATCATTGTTATGATGAAATACATATAGATATCATGTTACGTTAGTTCATATGTGTATATGTATATCATGTATCATGTGTGTATATCATGTTATGTTAATTCATATGTGTATAGGTATATCATGTATCATGTGTGTATATCATGTTACGTTAATACATATGTGTATAGGTATATCATGTGTCATGTGTGTATATCATGTTACGTTAGTTCATATGTGTATATGTATATCATGTATCATGTGTGTATATCATGTTACGTTAATAGATGTACACATGTATATCATGTATCATGTGTGTATATTATGTTACGTTAATACATATGTACATATGTATATCATGTATCATGTGTGTATATATCATGTTACGTTAATAGATGTATATATGTATATCATGCATTGTGTGTGTATATTATGTTACGTTAATACATATGTACATGTGTATCATGTATCATGTGTGTATATATCATGCTACGTTAATAGATGTACATATGTATATCATGTATCATGTGTGTATATCATGTTACCTTAATACATATGTACATGTGTATGTCATGTACCACATACGTATCTCATGTTACGTTAACACATATGTATATCATGTACCCTTCATGAAGAGTACTATACAATGAAATATATGATGTTTATGATTAAAGATACATTATCTATAATATTTATGACGAAATAAAAACTAAGTCCTACATATCAAGCACCTCCAAAGTAACAAGCAAACCAAAAGTCTAAAGTACACAATAATTTGAAAAAAATTCCAGTCACCCAATAAAGTAAGTTTGATTGGAGGCCCAACGACAGCTTTGTAGAGTAATATCGAATTATAACCGGCTCGCATCCGACCGGAACATTCGACCGTTGCAAATAAATCAACAAGAAGCGTTCGTTATATCGGCGCTGCAGCTTGATAATATTTACTTAACGAAGCACGACAATCGGCACGGAACACGCTCGTCTCATTGTCGATATTTTCAGGCAAACGAGCACTTTATCGTGCCCGGTAGGATCCGTGGATCGACACACGCGAACGTGACCCGAAATTCGCGTTAATTACTTCATCGAGTGCACACCGTGGCGCGAAACGAAACTAGGTTTCAGTAGTGCAGCTCGACGTACGCTCGGACGGCGACAGAGATTTCGCCGGGCAAGTCGTGAATTTAAACGAAACACAATTGGAGTTCATTAGCGGGGCGAATTATCGATGCCCGGGATGAAATCGTAGCCGGTAAACAACGCTGATCAATTACAACCGGTGTAATCGGTGAATTTCAGTGGAAAGTTGGACGGATCGGAGTGTGCGGGATATCGTTGGTTGTACTACTTGAAATTCGGGGAAAGATACTACGAGTTGGGAGATATTTACCAATTACTATATTTCACAATTTCCATATTTCTCAGTTTCTTCATTTCACAACTTCCATATTTGCCAATTTCCACATTTTCCAATTACTATATTTCCCAGTTTTCACATTTTCCAATTTCCATATTTCCCAGTTACTATATTTCCCAATTTCCATATTTCCCAATTACTATATTTCCCAATTTCCATATTTCCCAGTTTCCACATTTCCCAATTTCCACATTTTCCAACTTCCATATTTCCCAATTACTATATTTCCCAGTTTCCACATTTCTCAATTCCCACATTTCCCAATTCCTACATTTTCCGATTCCCACATTTCCCAATTTCCACATTTCCCAATTCCCTCATTTTCCAATTTCCACATTTCCCAATTACTATATTTCCCAATTTCCATATTTCCCAATTACTATATTTCCCAATTTCCACATTTCCAAAATACTATATTTCCCCATTTCCATATTTTCCAGTTTCTACATTTCCCAATTTCCATATTTCCCAGTTTCCACATTTCCCAATTTCCATATTTTCCAGTTTCCACACTTTCTAATTTCCACATTTCCCAATTTCCATATTTCCCAGTTTCCACATTTCCACATTTCCCATTTGATGGATTTTTAATAGTGAACACAGTTTATTTTTATTAAAAATACGCAAAATAAATTATTACAAGAAGACGCCGGGCATCGTAAAACGTGAAGTCACCAACAGTTCTCCAAACACACAACACGCTGCACGGCAATCAAAAACAGAAAACGAAGAACCACGAATTTCTTCATTTAAGAGTTTTAAAAGCGCGTATATTCAAAACTCCAACACCATTTTCCACATTTCCCAATTTCCAAAAATCTGCGAACACGAAAACCTACTCTAAAAATCCAAAAATATAATCAAACAATCCATTAAAAATTTCCACTTTAACCCCTTCCCGTACTTTGACGAGTCTCACTCGTGACGCACTTACAGCTAAAATGTGACAAGCCTTACTCAAATTTTGAATACTCTTCAACTTGAAATTTTTGTCCATCTATAAGTTACATTAGCAAGAATCCCTGAATATAAAATAGTTACAACATTTTAATTTTCTTTGTTCGGTTTAATGTTATAGCTCTATATAGTTAGTCTTGACTGACGCATCTGTTAAATAAATGGTAAGGGAAGGGGTTAAAAACACCCAAACCTTAGGTGTTTCCAAATTTCCCACATCGAACCGTAAAACAGTATTAGAAATAAAACTAAAAGTACAAGAACATTATCGGGCCATTTGGTTATCAACGATTCTCTCATCTGATCGCAATTATGTAAATCGTAGTCGCAATATCTAAAGGAACAGTTATCATAGAAATAGCTGTGTTATTTCGCCACTCGAAAGAATTTGAAGAAAATGGTTGCCGCATCGCTCGGCGAACGCGAAATGGCGTTTCGATAACGTCTCGATTTTCTCTACGTACCGCGATAAAAAAGAAAAGAAATTCTCGCAGCTGGTGAAAATTGTCGGTTCGATAAACGCGATAATCGATTCAACGAGCATGGAAACACGAAAAATTCTGCTCTGTTGCGCCACGCCACGCAGTTTGCCTCGTTTTCGTTCGAAATGAATAATACATTAGTTTTACATTCCCGATATTTATTCGAAAGAACAAATGACGTTTTCGTCGGATGCGTTGTTCCTCGACTTTCCATTAAAAACCCATTCGTCTCGTTGCGTCGTTTTGCAACGAATTTTCAACGCGATACAAGAAATTAAATCCGGCGATATATCAAATATTCAACGATTTTTGGGGGATGTTTTTAAATGCCTTTTTCGATCAGGGCATGTTGTATATTCTCAAATTTATGCTTTCACATTTACAAATTTTTCATTTACATATTTATGACTTTTGAAATACAATATTTTAAAGTGGTAAAATTTTAAAAACCTACTTTTGAAATTTTTAAAGTCAAATTTTAAAATATTTGGATTAAGTAAATTTTAGATTTCTAAATCCTAAAATTGTTAAATTAAGTAGTCAAGATAAAAAATACACTGATTTAAATTCCCTAAATCCTTAAATTTTACACTTCATAAATTAAACTCAAATTCATGAAATCCCTAAATTCCCCATTTTTCAAAATAAACTCAGACTTTCTGAGTTCTATAACTCCCAAATTTAAAAAATCCAAAATATGCAAATCTACAAATCTTCATAGATCCAATAGTTATTCTTAGTTTCTACATTTCCCAATTACTATATTTCCCCATTTCCACATTTCCCAATTACTATATTTCCCAATTGCCAAATTTTCCAACTACTATATTTGCCCATTTCCACATTTCCCAATTACTATATTTTCCAATTTCCATATTTCCCAATTCCTACATCTCCTAATTCCCACATTTCCCAATTACTATATTTCCCAATTTCCACTATCCCCAATTCCCACATTTCTCAATTACTAAATTTACCAATTCCCACGTTTCCCAATTGCTACATTTCCCAATTCTCACATTTCCCAGTTGCTACATTTCCCAATTACTATATTTCCCCATTTCCACATTTCCCAATTACTATATTCACCAATCACTACATTCCCCAATTTCCACATTTCCCAATGACTGTATTTCCCAATTTCCACATTTCCCAATTACTATATTCCCTAATTTCCATATTTCCCAATTACTATTACTCCCAATTGCCAAATTTCTCAATTACTATATTCCCTAATTTCCATATTTCCCAATTACTATATTTCCCAATTTCCACATTTCCCAATTACTACATTTCTCAATTACTAAATTTACCAATTCCCACGTTTCCCAATTGCTACATTTCCCAATTCTCACATTTCCCATATTTCCCAATTTCCACAATTTCCACATTTCCCAATTACTATATTTCCCAATTTCCACATTTCCCAATTACTATATTTCCCAATTTCCACATTTCCCAATTACTATATTTCCTAATCTCCATATTTCCCAAGCACTATATTTCCCAATTTCCACATTTCCCAATTACTACATTTCCTAATTTCCACATTTCCCAATTACTATATTGTTGAATTCCGGGAGAATTGACAACACACTTTATTTTAAGAAAACTTGAACAGCTTTATTGGATCGACTGAGTACTAGACTCTTTCTGAACCTTTCTGCACTTTTCTCGATATTGCAAGGTTTATATATACTATTGCTGGAGATAGGTTGAGTTAGGGATGGTGGACAAGGGACAGTGCAACTCAGGACATGTGCGAGGTCCAGAATGAGTAAGGAATAGAAATCGTCTCGATTAGTATGTTTGTTGAGGATGAGTCTGTAGTGTTTGCTATCTTATTTGTTTGAACGCGTTTGTCATCCAACAATATTTCCCATTTTCATATTTTCCAATTTCCACATTTCCCAATTAACCCTAGTAACCTTGAAACGAATACCTATCCCCTAGAAATGTCCCAGTACAAATACCTATCCCCTAGAAATGTCCCAGTACAAATACCTATTCCCTAAAAATACCCCAGTACAAATACGTATCCCCTAAAAATGTCCCAGTCGCATAACTCACCTGTAAAAGTACGAACATCCCCTGACGCTGTTGTGGGAGAAATGTTCGGCGTTCTTCTCGTTGCCGAAGTCCTCGAGAGGATCGGACCAGAGGAGGTCGCACATTGGCCCGAACGCTGGCGGCTCTTTGAACCTGTCCAACTGCAACAGCAAAGTAAACATCGATCGAATTAGTCGAAGGAACTTGACGTCTCTGATGCATCGACAGACATCCAAGACTCGTGTAAACGAGCCTGCAGTAATTATCTAAACGGTACCAGCCACCGACGTGCTTCGCAGTTTCCAATCAACCGATGCTTTTGTGCTACGATTTCCGATCTGTTGATTTAACGCGATATCGAATGATCGACCGATATTTATTGATCTACGGTTGCGAATGCCTCAGGATGTTGCCCGGAAGTTTTGGTTGCTTGGGAACGGTTTCAATCATTCGACGTCGCTACGGTTTACCTTCATTAATCTTCGTGGTTACGTATACTTTTGTTTGATAAAATTTTGTATGGTACTTTGCTGAATTGTTGTTTTTAGTAGTAGAGGTTGTTTTTATTAGCAGAGGTTAATTAGATAGGGTTGGTGTTTTTTGAGGTAAATAAGATCTCTGTTTTTGAACTTGATCTGACTTATGATTTTTATGACATTGTGCAGAATATTGGGATAAAACTCGTCACGAGAGTGATGATAAGAATGATTGTTAAATGTGGTCACATTTTGTTAAGTTGAAATGTAGTGATTGGGAAATGTGGAAATTGAGAAATATAGAAATTGGGAAATATGGAAATTGGAAAATGTGGAAATTAGGAAATATGGAAATTGGGAAATGTGGGAATTGGGAAATGTGAGAATTGGGAAATGTGGAAGTTGGAAAATGTAGTAATTTGGAAATGTGGAAATTGAGAAATGTGGAAATTGGGAAATGTGGAAATTGGGAAATGTGGGAATTGGAAAATGTGGGAATTGGAAAATGTGGGAATTGGAAAATGTGGAAATTAGAAAATATGGAAATTGGGAAATATAGTAATTGGGAAATGTGGAAATTGAGAAATGTGGAAATTGAGAAATGTGGAAATTAGGAAATATGGAAATTGGGAAATGTGGGAATTGGTAAATATGGAAATTGGAAAATATAGGAATTGAGGAATGTGGAAGTTGGGAAATGTGGGAATTGGGAAATTGAGAAATGTGAAAAATGGAAAATGTAGAAATTGGGAAATATAATGATTAGAAAATATAGTAATTGGGAAATGCAGTCAATGTAATACAAAAATATAATAAAACAAAATTAAACATCACCCAAAACCACAATCAAAAGTTCACCAGAATTCATCAATTATTCGTAACTCACAATATCGGATTCATCAAGAATCTTTTAGCACACAGACCGTCGGAAAAAAAAGAGAAGAAATTTACGCTCACTCGATGGAGAAACTAGGTGGACGAGCCACTTATTTACTCGAAAGACACACACACGTACAACGGAGATATAGAAACGCAGGAAGGATTCGTTGGTCGAGTGGTGTTTCCGCGTCATAAAGCATTCACGAACTCTGGCCTAGATTTATTCCTGTGTCGAACCGCTCGACGGAATCAAAGTAAAATCAGAGAACTTCCGGCAGAAACTTTTACCCTCCTGATTCGAGTGGATGACGGGTAGAAAAACTTTAAATGTTCCTGTCGTCCCTGTTGATCGAATCAGAACTGTATTCTCGGCCTGTACACTGTACAGGAATCTTTAGATTACGATCAACTTTTAACTACATTTTTTATGCAGAGTTTGTGTCAATATTTGTTGTTGAAAATTTCCAAATTACCCAATTTTCAATTTCACAAATTTTTAAATTATCCAATTTTCAATTCCCCAAATTTCGAAGTCCCACATTTTCCAAATCCCACATTTCCCAATTTTCACATTTCCCAATTCCCACATTTCCCAATTTTCACATTTCCCAATTTTCACATTTCCCAATTTTCACATTTCCCAATTTTCACATTTCCCAATTTTCACATTTCCCAATTTTCACATTTCCCAATTTTCACATTTCCCAATTTTCACATTTCCCAATTTTCACATTTCCCAATTTTCACATTTCCCAATTTTCACATTTCCCAATTTTCACATTTCCCAATTTTCACATTTCCCAATTTTCACATTTCCCAATTTTCACATTTCCCAATTTTCACATTTCCCAATTTTCACATTTCCCAATTTTCACATTTCCCAATTTTCACATTTCCCAATTTTCACATTTCCCAATTTTCACCCCCAAAATTTCCCAATTCCCACATTCCCAATTCCCACATTTCCCAATTCCCACATTTCCCAATTCCCACATTTCCCAAATCCCACATTTTCCAATTCCCGCATTTCCCAATCCTCACATTTCTCAATTCCCACATTTCCCAATTCCGACATTTTCCGATTCCCACATTTCCCAACTTCCACATTTCCCAATTCCCTCATTTCCCAATTCCCACATTTCCCAATTCCCAAATTTCCTAATTCCCACATTTCCCAATTCCCATATTTCCCAATTCCCACATTTCCCAATTTCCACACTTTCCAATTCCCACATTTCCCAATTCCCCAATTTTCAATTCTCCAAATGTTCACATTCCTAAATTTTCAAACCTCCTTCACTCCCCTATATCCCACAGGAACGCCGAAACTCCCAAGCTCGCAACAGCATAACAACAAATTCAATTTCCCAACATATACAATCGCATATAAAACATACACACACGTGTATATCTATGCGCACTAAAGACAACGACGGTTAACCAGTTAAGGATACGATCGTTTGATCAAAGTTTACGATGTCTCTGTTTATCGCGCAACAGAGACTGAGTCGTGGACTACGAGTTTTGATCATAATGGCTAATTATGTTGAATGGTATTAGTTCCTAACGCTCAGCGATTGCGTACGTGTGGCAGCTATGTGTACACGTACGTGCATACCACCCAGATACCAGCCACATACATACACGTACAAAGTTCGATGCTGTTTATAGTGTAACGAGCAGTTTGCACCTAATAAAGGCAGACGTAGTATCAGTGGCATTATTGGCCTTGCCGAAGTAGCTGCATCGTTCACGCCTCTAAATCCGTATTAGCTGTGCAGCGATCAACGCAATAGCCACTAAGAAGTTCAACGATCTCATTAATTTTAGATATTGCGCTCTCGTGAGTGTATTCAGAAAGTAACTCAACTCTTATAATAGGAACTTGATGTGATCGGTATTTGTTATGGGAGTGTTATTAATGACGCACCGGGTGCGTCAGATATTTTCAGAGTATAATTATTGCTGTGTTACAATAGACAAAGGATATTCAAATTTTTGAGATATTTTGGGCGGGTTCCAATTTAGCTGAACTCTTATAACAGTAATTTGACGTGATCGTTATTTATTATGGGAGCATTCTGAGTGACGCACCGGGTGCGTCAGCTACCGTTCGAGTATAATTATTGCTGTGTTAAAATAGACGAAGGATATTCAAATCTTAGAGATATTTTGGATGGGTTCTAATTTAACTCAACTCTTATATCAGTAATTTGACGTGATCGTTATTTATTATAGAAGCATTCTGAGTGACGCAGCGGGTGCGTCAGCTATTGTCACAGTATAATTATTGCTGTGTCAAGATAGACGAAAGATGTTCAAATCTTACAAATATTTTGGGTGGGTTCTAATTTAAATTAAGCAAGAAATTCAAAGGTTAATATGTGGCACGTTTCAACACATGTGGACATGGACCACACATGTGGACATGATGTATTTTAAGGCTAGTTAATAGAGAGATTTGTCAGGAATTATTGCTAATAACTAGACACGATTATTATTAAAAATGTAAACACGAAAAGTGACGTATCTGATCATAAGTAGTCTACTAATCCATCATGACTAGTATTGTTCTCATCATTCTTGCTATCAGTTCTATTATAATTGTTACCAGATCATTGTTCAAATTGTCATGACTACTGCAACTTCCGTCATCATCATCGTTCTTGTCAGGATAGTATCTTTGTAACCATGATAATAATAATAATATACAATGTCTATTATTATTATTATCAAAACCTAACACTAGGTATCTCTGTACACCACAAGCAAACATGTTAATCTTGTTCTCAGTTCTTTTATAATTTTGTGCATATGTTTCTGTTTAATATATATAAGTACATTTATGTTTTTTATTATCATTTAAACAAGCAGTAGCTCATCCTTACTAGAATAATAATACAAAAATAAATAATAATTTTTATAATAGAAAATCAGGAGTCATAAAACAGAAAATGTACATATATATGTGCATATGTATGTATATATGTGCATATGTGTGCATATGTATGCATATGTGTGCATACGTATGTACATATGTATGCAGCAAAATGAAGACTCCAGGATTGCTACTGTTTATAACATACATAAGAAACCGAGGGAAGATGCATCTGTTCCGTCAGATTACGTTATTTCTCATGGGAGAAAAAGGGGTGGTTAACCCTCTTCTTCCGGCTGTTTCCCGTTCACAGCGTTTCTCTTTCAGTCGCATCAATCGCGAGAAATAAAACCGGTGGAAGACTGCGGGAGGAACAACGGGAGAATAAAGGGCTGGAACTGGGTGAAGTTCGACTGATCGGAAATATTCGTCGAGCATTCGCGATAATTTGCATCGACTTTATCGGTTGTTCCCCGTTCCGATTTTCCCGGTGCCACGCTATTCTGATAGTCGATCAGAAAAAGATGTTGAATTGCCGTATCCATTACTGAAACTTTTTTCTTCCTTTCTTATGGAACTTCGGCTGCTCAAGTTTTTCCGGGATTCTTCTTCCTCTGCAGATGTACTCTCTCGGGCAATGGGGTGGAAACGGTTATGAAGTTTTGACTCTTGGTTAAGAATTTGGCGACGTTTGGCATAGGTAATTGATAGGTTCAGGATTTTTAGTCTACTAATTTCTTAAGAGAGAAATTTTTTGAATTATAGGGTTGCAAAGTCGGAGATATTTTAAATTAAAAGAATGCACAGTTAGAAATATTTTAAATTACAGGATTGAAGAGTCAGACATATTTTAAATTACAGAGTAGCAAAGTTAGAAATTTTTTAAATTGTAGGGTTGCAAAGTCATTCTACATTATAGTATAAAATT